TTTCATGGCTACTTCATCACTGTCATTTTGCTACTGCTGTGAATCGGGCCACCCCTGTGAAAGGGTAATTCGACCCCCATAGGGGTTGTGACCCACAGGTTGAGAACCGCTCCTTTAGAGAGACTTGGCCTTCATCAGGGTCCCTGGACTGGCTCAGGCATGTGGAAGTGGGATCTCTTCTCTTTTGCCCCGGCTACAGCTGGTAGAAGTGGATGTGTCCTAGGAAGCATGACCATGACACCTGAGGAGGGACCTAGTTTCTCCTGGGTTCCATTCGCAACACACGATTATCTCCATTTTATTGCTGGCACCGCAGAGAATCCCTGAGCTTCCCTGGTGTCAATCAGTGCCTGTTCTGGGACAAGAACCCAAGTGTCCTTCTTGTAGGCAGGTCTCTTCCCAGAACCACCTGCTGCCAAATGCACAGCCTACTCTACCACGCCACAGTGGCCACCATGCTATGCCCACACCTAGGTCTGGAAGGTTGATGCCGTGCAGAGTTAATTCCATTAAGGTGATTGGAGGAGTTACTTAGGGCCTCGGTGGATCAAAGACCTGGCAAAGATGGGCGCTAAGCCAGCAAAGGGATGTAGGCCTTAGGTGAACATGTAGGCAAAGAAGACCCTGTCCACTTAAGTGCCAACAAAGTCTCTTGCAACTGGCCTGGGGCACAGTGATGGGGGAAGTGCACTTTTGGTCTCAGAGAAGCTGCTTCCTTAAAGCAGAAGTTCAGGGGCTTGATGGAGCGCTTTTCATAGCTCTGTTTTTCATCTCATGCTTTCCTCCTCCATTTACAACCTTCAGCATGTCACCCCGCCCAACTCATTCTTTTTTTTTCCAACTCATTCTTCTCCCAAGGTTCCTCATTGATTTCAGTGTCCTCTCCCTTTCCCAGCCCTTCGGTCGCTTCTCCTTGGTTCTTACTTCTCCAGGGGTGCATGCAGTTCATGGGTGACATTTTCAGAAACGCTCCTCTGAGCGTGCCGTTTCCCACCTCACTGGACCAAATGTTTTCAGCTTCTCCCTTTGATGGACTCCATGGAGCTCCAGCTCCCCACCCTGCTGTTCAAAACATTTCCAGGCTTCCTTTCCCCCAGTCTGCTTCAGCTCTACGTTCCCTCCTTTTGTAGCTATTTAGACCGGTGGCTCTTCTCTCTCTTTATAAAATATTTAAACCTTGTCTATTCATTTATTTTGCTTTTGTTTGTTTCAATGTGTATTTTCATTTGTCAGCCTTTTTCTTGTTAAAAACAACAGTTCCGAAGAAAATCAAAGCCTCTGTGATTGCACAGCCCATCTCATCAAATCAAATCGATAACAGCACCCCATTCAACGCACCCTCCAATATGTATGTGTGTGTGTATTCCTCTCTACCCTCCTTCCTCCACCCTTTCCTGTCCCTTCCTTCTCCCAGCCCCATCCTTGCCCGGCCTGCTCACCATCGTTAAAGTCTTATCTTTTGGTGGGAAAACCTTTTGCATTTTGCTTTACAATAATGGTGTCATAAAATATTTTGCTAAGCATCGTGCTCGCTCATTTTCCCATGGCTTAAATTGTTTTTAACAGGCTTGTTCCTATTGTTTTAGTGATGCATCATGCTCCATTGGTGATCGCAGCAGTTCCTCTACAGTTGGAGTTCTGGGTTGGTTCCATCTTTGTGCTCTTAGAGAATTTGCTGCAATACGCCTCGGTGTGCATCTGTCTGTTCACTTTTTGATGTTTATTTCCTTGGGGTAAATGTCAAGTAGAGAGATCGCAAGATCATGAAATATTTATTTGTATTTGCATTTGCTTAAGGAAGTTCCATATTGCTTGCCATAGTGGTTGTACAATTCTACAATCCACCAGCAACGTGTGAGCATTCCAATCTCCTCACATACGTTAGAGCATTTACTGTGTTCTGTTTATTTAAAATTTTTCCTAAGAGAGTTGATGTGAGGTGGTATCTCATTGTTCTTTTAATCTGTCTTTCTCTTATTGCTTATGAACTGGGACATTTCTTCATGTAGATGTTGGCCACCTGGAGATCATCCTTAGTACATTGTCTGTTTATGTCTTGTGCCCATTTGTTGATTGCATTATTTGTATGTGTTTTATTTGGGTGTTGTAGTTTTCTATAGATTTTAAATTAGTTGTTATCTGATATATCATTGGTGAACACGTTTTCCCAATCTTTGAGTGCTTTCTTAACTCTTTTGATGAAATCTTTTGATGTGCATAAATGCCATATTTTTAAAAAGGGATCAGGCAGCTACTTGTCTTTTATTATATGGGTATTTTCAGCATGTTTGGTAGTATATTTATGCCTTATATTAAGGTCCTGAAATTTGTCCCCACTTTTTCATTGATGGTATTTATGGCTCTACGGTTTATACTTTGGTCTTTTATCCATCTTGAATCTGTTTTTGTACATGGTTTGAGGTATGGGTCCCGTTTCGTTCTTTGGCTGTTGGAGATCCAATTTTTCCATTTGTTGAAAAGGCCATCTCTTCCTGTGTAATGTATCCTTTATCAAAGATCACGAGTCTGTAGGCACTTGGATTTTTTTCCTGGGTTTTCAATTTTAGCCCATTGGTCTACATGTCTAAAGTTGCTCCAGGACTAAACAATTTTTACTATCGTGATTATAAAATAGGTTAAGTCTGGGAGAGAAAGGCCACCTACGTTATTAGTATTATTTTTAATGTTTTGTTTATCTTGGGTTCTTTCCTTTCCATATAATTTTTTTTCTATTCGTTTTCCCATTTATTTGAAGAACTGTGCTGGAATTTGGATGGTCATTACATTATTTATTTTTGGTAATATTGACATTTTCACTTAGTCTTCCTATCCAGGAGCATGGAACATTGTTCCATTTGTGTAAGTCTCTTTAGGTTTCATGTGGAAAGTGTGTTTTATAATTTTATTTGTATAAACCTTCTTTAGAACTAGTCAACTTTCCATCTTTTCAGGAGCAAGAACCAATGGTGCTGAAGGAAGACGTTCAAGTTTCCCTGAAAGCATTAGTCAAAGACAAGGAAGACTCCAGGAATTGATGGAATACTGTTTCAAGAAGCCGATGAAGCACTGGAAGCCCTGTCTTGTTTGTGTCAGGAAATTTGGCAGACAGCTACTTGGCCAACTGACCGAAAGAGAACCATAGTTGTACACATTTCAAGGAAAGGTGACCCAACAAAATCCTCAAAAATTACAGAACAATATCATCAATATCACACACAAGGAACATTTTGTGGAAGATCATTCAACAGCCGTTGCAGCAGTACATTGCAGGGAACCTCCAGAGGTTCAGGCCCAATTCAGGAGAGGTTGTGCAAGAGGGGATATCATTGTTGATGTCACATGGATCTTGACTGAAAGCAGAGAATACCAGAAAGATATTTGTTTGTATTTTATTGATTATGCCAAGGCATTTGACTGGATCATAACAAACTATGGATAGCCTTGAGAAGAATGGGAATTAGGGAACATTGCATTGTGCCCGTGCAGAACTTACACATGGATCAAAAAGCGGTTGCGTCAACAGACCAAGGGAATGCCTCACGTTTTAAAATCAGGAAAGGAGTGCTTCTGGGTTATAGCCTCTCACCATACTTATTCAGTCTGTATGCTGAGCGAATCATTAGAGAAGCTGGATTATATGAAGAAGAATTGGGCATCAGGATTGGAGGACGGCTTATTAACCACTAGTGACATGCAGATGACACCACCTTGCTTGCTAAAAATAAAGAGGACTTGGAGCATTTGCTGACGAAGATCAAGGATTGCAGCCTTCAGTATGGAATATGACTCAATGTAAATAAGACTGAAATTCTCACAACTGGACCAATAGGTAACATTGTGATAAATGGAGAAAAGTTTGAAGTTGGCATAGATTTTGTCTTGTTTAGATCCACAATCAATGTTGATTGAAGCAGCAGTCAGGAGGTCAACCAACACATTGAATTGACTAAATCTGATGCACAAGACTATTTTAAAGTATTGAAAAGCAAGATTTTACTTTGAGGACAAAGGTGCATCTGGCCCATGCCATGGTATTTTCAATTTTCTCATATGCATGTGAAAGTTGGATATTGAATAAGGAAGACCAAAGATCAAACTATGCATCTGAATTGTGGTGCTGGCCCAGAATATTGAAATTTTATGGACTGTTAATAGGACCGATTGCTCTGTCTTGGGAAAAGAGGGGCCAGAGTGCTCCTTAGAGGCAAGGCTGGCAAGAGAGTTCACCTTACATACTTTGGGCATGTCGGAGGTCAGTCCCTGGAGAAGGACACCACGCTTGGTAAAGTGGAGGGACAGCAAAAGAGAGGAAGGCCCTCACCAAGCTGGATGGACACAGTGGCTTCAACAGTGAGATCAAGCCTGGGAGCAATTGTGAGGCTGGTGCAGGACTGAGAAGTGCTTCTTCCTTCGGCTGTGCACAGGGCCGCCACAATGAGTCAATGGCACCTAACCACAGCGGCACAAGTCTTGTTTCTCGGGTAAGATTTAGTGTTGGGGTAATGATTGTAAATAGTATTGTTCTTTTAATTTTATCTCTAGTGCCACCTTTTTAAATATAGAAAATCCGAACTGATTTCGGTATGTTGATCCTATAGCCTGATGATATTGCCACATTTTTCAAGTTCCAGTATATTTTTTCATGTGTTAGAAATAAACTTGTTTGTCGCTAAAGACTCAAAAGTCCATTTCAGTTTAACATTTATTCCTGTTTTTCATAGCCACTCAGACCAATATTTAAGGGCAAGGAATCTAGTTCCAGTAATTGTTTAATTGAATCTTTTGGGTTTTCTTTCCCTTTTAAAATCATTTCATTGGGGGCTCTTACAGCTCTTATACCATTCTATACATCAATTGCATCAAGCATATTTGTACGTATGATGCCATCATCATTTTCTAAACATTCACTTTTTATTGAGCCCTTGGTATCAGCTCCTCTTTTTCTCTGCCGAACCCCCCGCCTTGTGCCCCCTTGATAAATTACAAATTATTATTGTTTTCAGATCTTACACTGACCGCTCTCTTCCTTCATCCACGTCTCTGTGGTTCATCCCCCTGGGTGGGTGGATAGGGATTATGGGTTGATCATTGCGGTTGGTTCCCCCTTTCTCCTCCCCTATCCACACTGGCCCCTGACCCTCTTGGTATCCTTATTCCCAGTTCTGTTCCTGAGGGGTTTGTCTGATCTGGATTCCATATGTTGTGAGCTCTTACCTGTACCAGTTTACATGCTCCGGTCTAGCCAGAACTGAAAGGCAGGACTGGGGTCATGATAGTGGGGGGTGAGGAAGCCTC